GGCCATTCAGACAAGATTTGTACTATCACTATTATATAAACATTTAGCACTTTGTTCTTTTGCTAATTTATAAAGAAAAGTCACAATAAATTTACACTCACTCACACGTTTACTGGCTTACTAATAATCGAGGGAGCAGTATCAATATCAAAGTTCTTCATGAACTGTGGGGAAAATCATCATGTTAATTATTTTGAACATCCTAAAGATAACAGGACTGGAGAAGGTAACTTTAAACCTCATGTAGATAAAATGTGGATTTGAACATTTAATATTGAAGCATCAAATTAAAATATTCCATTCTGAATCTAAATCACTTTAAAATGAAAATTTACATAAACATTTTCCACTCAATGAACAGACTGCTAAAATTATAGAAGAAAACTGTGCTTGGGATTAATAAATTACTGTTCAGAATAATTTTAAAGATTACGTTATTTTTAAATTACTGAAGGAAGATTTTTTATAAAGCATTCAATTTCAATCCCATAAAGTAACTGTTTTATTGCTCTATATTTTTAACATATAATTCTTACCTTGCTTCTCCTGAACATTTGTGTGCTGCCATACATATTTTAGATTTAATTTGTTTAGATTGAGTATCCAATAGAGGTACTCAGTCCCAATGAGGTATTCAAAGGTTGAAACTAAGTAGCTTTTCTTCCTCCACCTTCCAGTGCACAATGTTGTTGCTACATTTTATTTTCCAATCTAATACTTGGTGCTCTACAAATGAATTAAGTTACACTATTGTGTATGATGGATATGTTACCTCAACTTAAGTTACTTTTTCAATCTTTAAAATATTGATCCTACATTTATTTGAAACACCCTATTTGTTTAATCATATGGGAAATAGTTGTTTCTACCAAATTTTTCGGCAGCAAAATGGACAACATGATGGGTATAATTTTGTTGTGGCTTGATGACTTTCGTGTTTTGAAAATATTAATTTCATCCGATTGTGTAAGTTATAGCTTGTAAGGCATTAAAGCTGAGAACCATGTCACCACCAACATATAAAATCCGTGACTAAATCATCCATGTCAAGAAAAGTACGTGCTATTCAATTTACATAGGTATGCATGCTTTCATGGATAATGTTTACTTGGAAATATAAAGCAAAGCTGCTAACTTTCCAATGATGGGTTTGTATATTCATATTAAAACATACCAAGACCAGAAATTAAAAGTTTAATGGGGCCCATTAAAAAACCGCTTTGCTATTAAAGGAAACTTGGAACTCTCTCCCTAACTGGCTGCAGATATAGGGTTAATTGCAAGTTTTAAGAGAGATTGTCAGATTATTTGCCAGGCAAAAAACATCAAAAGAATATGGAGCAAAGATGGAGGTGACTTACAGATCAGCCAAGATCTAAGTGAATACAAGATGAGGCCCTGCAGTCTGAATGACCTACTCCTGCTTCTATTACTAAGACAGTCACTGTCAAAACTATTGGTGATAATAATGTGTAACGTGACCTGGGGTAATCTGGTTATGAAACTAATTGCAGGACTTTGTAAAATATAATTTGATTTTTTGAATCATAGGGGGACAGCTGTGTAAATGTTTTTCAGACCAAAGTTAGATGCCATAGAAAAGATAAAGTCAGTTAGCTAATTTCACAGCCAGTCTTACAAGTAAGTTTATATTTTCACCTTAGAAAGGATGTGGATATTGGACTCAACACGTTCTCCCAACAGGGAATGTCCACTCTAGGTCATTGAAAAATAAAATAATACATGGGATACAAGTCTCCGCTATATTCAGCAGGAAGACCATTGCATTACTTCAAATGATCAGACAATCAGGAGTGCCATGACTCAGGCATGAAAGTCATTAAATTTACCTAAGTTACATCTTTGAAGTGGTCAACAGATTGGAATTACAGCTAGCTGGCTACAAGGTCAAAAGCAAAGAGCGTAAGGATAGCTAGTTACAATGGTAACAGTTGGAAGTGGGATATACAAGGGTCAATACTGGGACCATTATTTCTATTAACAACTCAGACTTTGGAATCAAATTTCTAAATATGTTGACAATAAATGGAAGAGATGATTACCACAGAGGAGGACTGAATAAATTACAAATGAGGCTTCAATAAATCTTCAATAAACGTACAAAATGAACATGTATCTCTAAGGTTTTGGAGTAGATTTGTAGCTCGGGTTGTGGATGTTGAGGTTGGTTGGCTCGCCGAGCTGGTTTGTTGTTCCGCAGATGTTTCGTTACCGTGCTTGGTAACATCCTCAATGCAGCCTCTGATGAAGCATCGGTGTGTTTTCCCGCCTGGCTTTTAAACTCTGGGACAACCCTATGACAAGTGGTCATCCGAACTAAAGACCCACCCCCCGCCATGGACAGGACCAATGTCATCTACAAGATCCCCTGCAGAGACTGCGAGAAACACTACATCGGACAAACAGGAAGGAAAGTAACAACAAGAGTACATGAACACCAACTGGCTACAAAAAGACATGACCAATACTCACTCATCTCAATCCACACGGACAAGGAGAACCACCACTTCGACTGGGACAACACCAAGATCCTGGGACAGGCTAGGCAGAGACAAGCACGAGAATTCCTGGAAGCATGGCACTCCACGAAGCAGGCTATTAATAAACACATTGAACTCGACCCCATATACATTCCACTACAGAGGAAACCCAGAAGTGAGGCAATCCATCGCAACGGACCCCAGAGTTTAAAAGCCAGGCGGGAAAACACACCTACGCTTCATCAGAGGCTGCACTGAGGATGTTACCAAGCACGGTAACGAAACATCTGCGGAACCACAAACCAGCTTGATGAGCTAACCAACCTGAACATGTATCTATCAAATAATTATCAACATTTTGATCAAAATTAGTTATACATGAATTGTAAAATAAGACTCTAAACGGGATAGGGGACCTGCTAGTTCAAGATCTGATTAAGATCGATAACTTCACAACAAAAACAAACCCAGGAGGGTTATTGCTAGATGGACTGAATTAAAAGTTATGCCAGGGTTAGGGCTCGCCTACAATTGGAGTACTGCTTGCAGCTCTGGTAATTTACAAGATTCATACCAAAAATGCATAGACATGAGAAAATAGACCCAGCCTGTATGCATTAAAACTAAAAAGTCAGTGAGGTGATCTAACAGAGGTATTTAAAATTCTGAAGTGCTTTGACAGATTAAATACAGAAAGGACAAGTTTCTTTTTAGGGAAGAGGAAAACCAGAGACAAAGTCACTGTGACATTAAAGAGGGCATTCAGAAGAAAAAGTCTTTATCTGGAGAGAAGCAAGATTGCCAAATGCATTACCATAGGGTGTTTTTAGTCAGATATCTTTAAGCAAGGGGAGGTAAGCATGTGAAGGAAAATGGAATAGAGTATTATTCCAACTGGAGCTAAATGTGGAAAGATAGAGGCAGCTCAAGTGCAGCATAAACACCAGTATAGATTGGGTGTACTGTATATTCTGTACTGTATATTCTGTACTGTATATTCTGTA